ACTTCCCAAATGTTATCTAAATGTGTCACGTCACAAATCTTGTTCTTAGTGTAAAGTTACGTTTTAAAAGTGCCTTTAAGAAAATGCAAAGAAAATGCAAATCAAACTGAGACACTGAAAATCTCGATAGTTCCGATAGCTGATATTGATACGCGTCTAATGTAATTAATCGCTTCAGAAAGCCCTCAAATGTAGAAAAGTAACGACTTACCTTCGGCTAAGATTCTGTTTGCAGCTTCAAAAATATTTTCCTCAGAATGCCTCACATTCAGGTGAACAATAAAATTTGCCGCGCGAGGTTAACTGGGCGAATCCATCCGATCTTTCTAGCAGAGTAATGTTTGCCCGCATAACTACAATCGCGTACACGATCTTCCTCATCTCTCCCTCTTTCTTCCGTCTTCAATAATTTGGGGGAACAAATACGCTTTTCGCAGAAAACCGTGTACATTGTTGTTGCCAATACTGAATCATCCGAGATGATTGAGACGTTGTCGTGGAAGAAGGGCATTTTCATCAGCAATCTTAGGAAGCACTTCATGCTGCGATGTTTCTGCAGCATTGCCTTTCCGGTCGCACAATTCTTCCGCTAAAAGTACATCCTGCAAGATTCTCCTCCTCCATTGAGTCATCTGCTTTTATTTCGGTGAGGTGTGAGAACGCCGTCAATATTTGTCTAAAACATCGTCAAAGCCGCCTATCAATATAATTCGTTTAGACTTTATGTTTGCATCTCAGCGTCGACCTAAGCGTTAGCGAGTCATGCACGCTAACATTTTCTTAACGAATTTTCCACAAAATTACCCTTATATTAAAACGAAATCCAAATATTGCTGAACACGTTTATCCACCTGAGAATGCATAGATGCGATTCTCGATGGATTAGCCAACCAAGATTTTTGCGCGTATTTGTGCGTTCAAGATAAATGGAGCACAAACGCACGCGGCTCTACCTCGAAGAGTTGTGAGGGCTCAAAGTGACGGGAGGAATTAGAGATCGTATTTATAGTGGTCGCTCTCTTCCAGTCCTTGCTCATTCTGTTTCGAAACATCTCTAATTCTAATATTGCTACTATTGTTTCGCACTCTTTAATCTCCGTTTTGTGGTCAGATATCATCATTTTCGGGTTTTGTTTGAGATCGCATGGTTTTCTATTTGCTTAAGTTAGCAGGGAAAAAGTCCAAAGATCACTGAAC